AAAAAACATGAGAAAAGGTGTCTTTGAAAGGTTTTTGGGTTTCATAACTTCCCTGTTTCCTAACCAGAGATTTAAAAGCTTAAAAAATATAGAAATAAAAGAAACAACTCTAACCACACATAAATTCAAGCTGAATAAGGACTTGAAGACCAAGTATCTCTGTAAATAAGAGACTGTAATGCCTCTAATTAAAAGCCATGGCAGCATGATAAAAATGTGATCATCAAACATAAGATTTTAAAAGAATTCTCGAGAGAGACATACCCTGAAGAAAAAATATAAACCTTAATCCACAATTTCATGAACCTTTTTTTATTTTAACCCTAGGGGTTACGTTGTAGACAAGAGGAAAGAAGTAGGCTAATAGAGAAATAAAAACCTACTAAAGCTCTGGTTTTTGAGGGCAGTGAGGCAGTAACATTGTACAAATTAATTTCAGCTGGCATGAAACAGACTGAAATATGAATGCTAAATTACAGTGGTATATTAAAAATTTAGCCCTTTAGTAATGTAAGAAGTGTGATTACCAGTGGCTACTATACTTGTTTGTGTCATAAGAACATTTTATAAACAAACATGTATTCCCTTAGGAAATGGAAGAAATGAAGATATTTACAAAAAAAGGGTGAATTGGAAAAGTGGGGGAGCCACCACTGCATGGAAGAGTCACCTACAGTCACAGTTATGGAAAATGACACTCACTGAGAGCTTCCAAAATACAAGGTCCTCTGCTAAACATTCTACATTTAACATTGACTCCTCACAACCACCGTCAAGTAGCAATGTTATTATTCTCAGTTTAGAGATTAAAAAAACAGTGGACTTGGGAAATTAAGTAATTTGCCCAAGGTCACACAACTCATCAATCAGTGGCAGCACCAGGGGCCAAATCCGGATGTTTCTGATTCAGGGGCAAATGTCTCAATCACGCTGTTGATCTTCTCAAGAGGCAAACAGAGGCAGCACCCCACTAATCACTGCCCAGAAAAACTACCCAGGCTCCAAGGAACCTGCCTGGTCCGGAGGCCGTCCGGTTCCCCTTCATGAAGATATGAAAGGTTTTCAGGGTAACCTCTGTTCTCTAATTTCATGCTCACCAAACAACCTCGTGGCTCTGGTTCCCAAGTGGCCTGTCTATGGGGGGGATCATGGCACGCACACTTGGGGCCCTTGGCGGTTCCATAGCTCGTGGTTAATTACTAAGCTAGCACCCTGGTTTTACATGTCGCTATCGGTGAGCAGGGCTAACACAGGCCCCGCTCCCTGAGACGTTAGGTTTTCAAGCCTGATCTCCTCACTCTAGAATGTGCCGATTCCGTCAAGGTAATACCGCCCCCTGGGAATGGCTGTGTCCAGCTGACACCCTCTTGCCTCACTACCTCCATCGGACCTCCAGAACGTATACTTTCAAGACTGGAGGGAAATTTTTCTAATTCCGCTGAACTTCCATAAAGCCTTCTACGGCCTCTCTTGAAAGTATTGTGAAACTCAGAATGTATGATATGCAGAGAATTTCAGCAGCTCTCTGAGAGGCTATTGCTACAATAAAAAGCAATATTTTTCTATGAGGATACTTTTTCCCCTTTTTAAAAGTCACTTTTCCATAGTTCAACTGTGGTGAATTTAGAAAACAATTAACAATCTAAGTCAACTAAATTGAATATAAGTACATATTAATCTTTCTGTTTTAAATTTCTTAATGTATTATATTTCAGACCAAAAAAAAAAAAAATGAAGACTACAAAACAAACGTCATATACCCACACATCCAGCTTAAGAAATAAAATACTACCGATAGAGTTGAAGCCAGTGGATATAGCGTTATAATGGTATTATCATGTAGCCTTGTGACTGTCATAATAAAAGTCAAATGGTACTCAGTGAAGCAAGAAAAGTAAAGACTTTTTCTCTCCCAACTTAAATTTGAGCAGTAGCAAAGCGTATCCGCCAAATCTATATACTATGATAATTCTAAGTTTGCTTGATGGAAGAGTACTCTAAGACAACAACATACCAATATCTCTTGGTATGACTCTTATCCGCGATGTATGGACACGAACTCAGAACAGGTGTTGCTGACTCAGATTATTTCTGAACAGTCATTCAGTAAGATTAGGCCTGGGGCTTGAGCCACCTGTTTATATGCTACAGAACACAGCTTCTGAAACTTTGAAAGGAAAAATTTGCTATACAAACTAAGTTCCTAACCATGACTGTCATTAAATGTTGGAAATGGTGGGAAAGCCTGTGCAGGGGCAGGACATTTTCTAGGGATCACATGTGTTCCCTCTCAACACACTCTACACCCTTCTGTTAAAAATCATTATATACCCACAGCTGTATAAAGTTGCTCATTCCTGAGTTTGATAACATCAAACAAGGGATAGTAACTTCTTGACCAAGAGAGAATGAAGGCAATGCCTGTGGGCTCAGTTCAACCTGTATTTACTGAGCACATTCCAGGCCTAGTACTCTGGGTACAAAAATAAATTAACCACGGTTTCTCAAGATGTTGACTCTGTAGTGGTTGTAGGCAGGCCTGGTGCATGAGGAAAAAATTACAGGGAAAGGAAGCCAAAATAGGGTAAAAGGAAAAAATGGGTGAAGGATGCAAGAACGATGAAATAAATCGTTCTCTTTAGTAAACAGGAGCAGTCGCTGAGGCCAGCTCTTCTGGTTTACTTTCTCCTCCTAGGACCGCTCCATCTTGGGCTCCTTCCAAGGCTCCCCCTCTAGTCAACCCTGAGGGTCTGCTCCATCTTCTCTCCTGGACAGCCTCACATGTTCTCCCAGCTTCAATTAATTAACTGACCTTGGCTGATGATTCCAAATATCCTCTCTCCAGCCTGGCTTCTCCCATAAGCCCCAGACCCACATATGCCTCTGCCTGCTCACCATCTCAGCTGGCATCTCAAAGTCAGTACTTTCAGAACTAACTACACACTACGCACCTCTCCTCATCCTCCTCAAACCAACTCTTCCTGTTACGTTCCCTCCGTTAGAGCCCCCACCATTTACGGGAAACCTAAGTATCAGCCTGGACCCTGGCTAGCCCTTGCCCAACTCAGGAGGTAGGTCCTGAATATCTCCAGGTTCCACCCACTTCTCTCCATCCCCATCCAAATCCAAGTGACCACTATATGTACCACAACTAAGTCTTTCTAATCATTTCCTAGAGGCCTCACTCTTTCCAAAAACTAATCGTACCACACCCTTGTTTAAAAGCCCTTCACTGACTTTCCTCTTACTTACAGGACAAGCCCAAACCCTTTAACAAATCCCCCCCGCCCCACCGAATTACACGGCCCCTGCTCTTAGCGTCTTCTCTCCCACTTCAGGCTCCGTAGATCATGTACCTCATGTCTTTGGCCCTGCCCAGTTCCTTTGTTGGAAGTCTTTTCCAGTCCCCGACAGGACCACCCTGCCCCAGGCTTCAGGGGCCAGCGCAGACATCACTTGCCCTGGGAAGCGTTCCCTTTGCTGTCCCTCCCTATTGTCCACAGCACACTCCATGCCACTATCATAGCATGGGTCAGGCCTGTTTTTACTAGTATAAACACTAGGGTAAGCTCCTAATACATATGTGCTTGGCACTTAAGTCTTCAATATTGAATCATCAAATGATTGGATGGTCACCAGAGGCACAGTTTATTGCTGACTTTTTATGAACTACAACATCAGTGGGATTTCCAGTTAGGAAGGTAGGTGTTCACGTGAAAGAACCAGTTTCTCCACCTTTCTCTCACCCTAGGACCAGGTGGCCAAAGGATGGAAGGGTCCTAGATTTAATTAGAGCCCTATTCCTCACAGGCCTTACATAATATTTTAAATTTAAGACATTATGTGGATACTTGAGGACTCTACAACTTCCTATTGACTAGATTAGGGGTTTTCCAGGGCAAACCTCCCCATGATTACTATAACAGACTAGTTATTAGAGCTAGGCTTTACCTGCACATTAAATCATGCAACCACTCTGAGGATTAGGAACCTCTAGTAATTCCCATGGTTCAGGTGAGGGAACTAGAGCCCAGAGAGATCAAATAGCTTGCCCACTGTGACACAACCAGAATTCAGACTCAGGCAATATGTCTCTAGAATCTTGGCCTGGCCTGTGGAAAACAATGTACTGGCCTGTTGAATGAATGAATAAAGACAACGCACTGTACTATATCAGGATGACCCATATCAGATTATGCTGGGTTGGCCAGGAAGTCCATATGGCTTTTTCTGTAAAATGAAAGACATTTTTTTCATTTTCACTAATAACTATTGATTTGGATATTTTGACTATGTCAGCTATCTCCTGCTATTGGCTTATAGTGGGGAGAGGCCAGGGGTGCTGCTAAACATCTTCCAATGCATAAGACAGCCCCACAGTACAGAATTACTTGGCCAAAATGTCAATACTACCAAGAAACTTTGCACACCACTTTTGACACATTTGATCAGTCACAGCACCTTCTCCATACACTGCACAAATCTTTTTCTGTGTATTTCAGTTGCGTTTTTACCTTTCAAATAATGAAGCATAATACACCAAAAATGTTGTGTATTTTCTTCTATCTTCAATATTAAAATGGCTGCAGAGAAATTCACCAATCTTGATAAGTGTTTTTTTAAATGCATGCTGACAATACAATCTAACAAAAGTGTTTCAAATGAAGTTAAAGACAGCTAAGCACTACTCAAGCCAGCATAGGTATGGACTTTTTGGCCAACCCAATATTAGAAAAAGGAAACATGATCATCCAAAATGCATTCATATTTGATTCTCCAAAATTACATTTTGGGGGAACATATAAACATTTTTAAAACTCCAGAGGCCCCTTGTTCTGTATCCATTCCTTATTCATGAGCTGTGGGCTTGCAGGCTCAACTCAAGGTACTGCTGGGCCAGGGACACGCTTTGAGAACGCACAGCCAGCATACATTAAAGTGGCTGGGACAGGAGGAGAGAAACCAGGCCAGAGAAGCCTGCAGCCTCTTCTGCGGCTCACCTCCCGGAGCTCCAGCCTCTGGGCCACGGCCTCCAGGCTCTCCTGACCGGTGCTCTCCACTGACAGCGTGAACTCCACAAACTCGTTGTTGAGCAGCTGGATCCGGGCAACCAGGCAGCTCTTGCTGGACACAGTGTAGCGCCGGGTGCGTTTTAGTTTCAATCCAAATGGCAGCGGCATCTTCTCTCTTCAAGGGTGAAGGGGTAACGAGGGAAAAGCACCGCCACCAATGCAGGGCGGGTGCCGGAGGAGGAGGGCGATCCCCTCCTGCCCGGAGGGGTGCTGCACAGTCTCGGGCTGCTCACCCAGCAGCTGCCGCCGCCATTAAAACGCAACTGAGTCTCCAAAGGCCAGGTGAAGGGAGCATCCACGCCAGGGCTGGAGAGAGAGGAACACTGGTTACACAGGCCATGGCAACTCTGGACTTTTAAAAATAAACATCGATAACGCTATAGGCAAAGGATGACCTTTCCCTCACTTCTGGAAAAAGAAGGCATGGCATGAACAGGGTCTGGGAGGCAGTGAGGGAGTTTACACCAGGCTGTGTTAGACCCTCACCCATTCCTCCCAGCAGTGGCAACGACCACCTGTGGCTGCGTCAGGATTACAGGAGGGAGTTGCTGGCGCTACCACAACTCCAAACTAAGTCGCTAGCATTAGTGGTACTGTTTCTATGTTAGATAAGGCTTTGTCTTTTCATAGTTAACTCTTTTTGTCGCCCCAATACTCCAAACGTAAGGATCTTTCGTCCTTTGGTGATATAACTACAAAACACCTCCAAAAGAGCTAGAATCAAGTCTCAGTCCCAAAAGGCAAATGAACCCTGAGCCCAAATGAGAGGCATCATCCCCTCTAACGTATATGGCAGCTGTGAGGCTCAAAGGAGGTGAGGCGCTCAACAAGCATTTGTAAAGCCCTTTCTGGTTTATAAATACTGACGTCATCGAATGGATTTATTTACAAACGACTCACAGAGGACCCTACAAATGCTTGTTGTCCGATTACCACCAGGAGTGTGCAAGTTGTGAAAAGCGCGACCCCATCTACTCTCCGAGCAGGCTGCCTACAGAGGTGGTAGGCCTTCACCTAAATAAAGGGACAGCCCAGGAGGCGGGAGAGGATTTAAACCCCATCCCGGTTTAACGAGGGGCGGACGGGCTCAGCCAGCCCACGCGGCTAAGAGCGCAGCGGAGAGCACAGGCTTCGGCTCCGACTCCCCGCGGGCAAGCAGACGGCGTGGCCCGGCCAACGCGCAGCCTCCGAGGATCCGGAACCCTCCGCCCGCGGCTGAGTTTCCGGACGGACGCTCTAGGGCAGGGCCGGCCCGGCCGCTCCCGGAGGGAACTTTTAAAGGACCCAGCCCGAGACCCCACAGGTGGTGGGAAAAAGTGTGCGCGGACCGTGGGATTCCCGTTTTGGAGCTTCCGGAGTCCAAAATACGCGATTTACAACGTTTTTAATCACACCTCTTGGTGGCCACTCCTGAGCTGAAGTACACGGGCCGTGAGCGGCAAGACGGGGTTTTTACATTCGCCGGATGTTTTTCCTCCTCAGCGAGGCGACAGAATCCCGGGATAATTCCCACCCTCCGTTTTCTTTTGAGCAGAGGCTGCCCCAGAAGACGAATCGTTCTGCGAGGCTCGGCAGCGGCCGGTGGCCCTGAACTTGGGTCGGGAAGCCAGCGGAGGGGCAGGCCCGCCTCCCGACCCTGTCATCTGGCAGGCGCAGACTCCAGGCCTCTCGCCTTCCTGGAGAGTGGGAAGAGGGGGGAATGGATCCCAGATTCCTCCTTCCCGGGCCTCTTGTCCGCTCTCCAGACCGCGCCTCCGCCCCAGAGGTGATGGGCGCTCGGGGCTGGGGGCCGGCGGAGCTGGAGAACGTAGCTGAGCTCTTACACTAGGCTGTGCCCAACAGCGTTTTGGACCTGCCTCCCACAAAAGCGTATTGCGCCTCCGAGCGCGAGGCAGCGGTGTGGGCGCGGGGAGACGCCGAAGACGAAGCCTCAACCATCGCCGCCCTTAAGGCGATTACACGCGTGCGGTATTTACACACGGGGTCAGTCTCGAAGGAGGCCCCAACCTCGGTTTTCGCAGTCTGACTTTTTGTTTATTTGTTTTTGTTCCTCGTGTTTTGGGTTTTGAGTTCTGGTTATCCCCAGAGAGCCAAAATAAAAAATAAAAGTTAAAAACAAGTAATGGAGGAGGAAGGCCAGAGGAGAAAAAGAAAACCGGAACGACCTCCAGCACTGGTAACAGCATTTTCTGGGTGCCTTCTACAGGGAAAAGCATCATACCAAGGAGGGGAATAGAAAATAAATATTATGGCCTCCACCTGCAGTTTTTAACGCTCTTTGCTATGTCAGGGTATAAACTAAATAGACAGGTGTGGCAAAAACGAAAAAAAAAAATCAAGAAATGAGAACCTTAATACTTTAAATTAGTGTTTGTATCAATTTTAAAAGATTGTATGCACATAACATACACAGGATCCAGCACAAATAATGCCCCTTTTTATTACAAAATCATAAGCATGTAATTCTGTAACATAACAGTATCACACTCAAGCACGCTATCTGACATTTTAGGTGAAATGTTCAAATTAAAATTATAAATTATTACACACATATTATTACCCTACCAACCACCCTCAAAAAGGCGTTACTTCTGCCGCACCCTGGATATACTTAAATACCCTTTCATGAAATGAGGTGATGGATTGCAGCTTTTATACAAATTATGGAAACTGGAAACAGTATTAAGTACTGTAGATGAACAGACAAGATATTGTATAGATGCAGAGGAAACATGAATATTAGTATTAAGGGTGTTCAAATATGGTCATCTTTTTACTGCAAAGATAGAACGATACCTTAAAGGCGGTAGATAGGACACAATGCAATTTAATTATTAACTTAAGCTCTGATTAAGCAAACTCCAAGTAAAACTTTCAATTGTCCCTGAGATTTGAAATGTTTTACAGCATCAGGGATAAAGAAGAGCCAATGTGTTCTCTTTTTTATTTTGGTAGATGTTATGATGTAATTGAAAAAGTTGAGGGCTTGTGTTATGTTTCAGGTGCGTTCCCCGCCCGCACCCAAGATCTATCTGTAAGAATAGCTTGCTTTTTGCTTATTTATATAAACTTACTGTGTTAAAACAATGTTTTGCTTAATCACAAAATTATCCATGATTTACACATCTTAATTTTCATTTATGTACAATATTTGCTACTAAATGATGTCATTAAGTTATAAATGTTTGGATGGACTAGTAGAAATTTAGGATGCTTTTTGGAGAATCTGTTTCAGGGGCAAAATAGTATGTAAAAATTTGAAAGGTAGCTGGGTCTTGAGTTATAAATTACCTAACTACTAAACAATTTATTAGCTTCTGAAGGAAAAAAACTAGGATACTTTGTTTCTCTACAAAACCATTCTGTTATGTAATAAGAAAACAGATACATATTAAATTCTGTTCAAGTTTTCAAAAGACAGTCGGAGATATTTGTGAATTCATTTTAATGTCTTCTTTTCACAGCCCCTCTCAAAAGTTTCTCAAATGCACTTGAACTCTGAATCCTGGAGTTTCCTCCCTTGCTGAAAAGCTCTTCACCATGTGTAATTTTGCCAATGATGCTTTAAAATAATCACTACAAGAGTCTATGATATTTTTAGAGCAATACATACATCTATAGCATTAAATCAAACGCATGTTTCTCAAGGACCAAACATTTGTACGTAGATACTCGAGAACGACATGCCCTAGAAACAAAACATACAGCTATCTTCAGAGTGAAATTACTGTCATATCTGACACTTCAAAAAAAAAACTGTCAACAACTAGGAGGCATACAGCGGTTGTCGCTGGGAGCACACGGAGTGTCTTGAACGTTTGAGAGCATACGCTATTATTATAAGGCTTTCTCAGCAAAAAAGAAAATAAGACGCGCATGCCAAGAACTTCTAATCAGGATCTGCAGGAATCACAAGTCGGAATTTGCAGACCCAAGAATTCTTTTGTCCAGAGTAAACACTCTTTGCTCCAAAAACAAACAAGCCGTCGCCCAACAGTCCTTCCCGAGTCCCCTTCTCCCCTAAGTTGCCGGGCAAGTTCGCACTCAATAGTCCGAGGCTCAAATATGCCTAAGACTTTTAAAACCCTGATCCAGAATCAAGCCGCCACAATCGGGGGAGAGTTCGGAACCGACGCTCGAGACCTCCTTCAGAAATTACTCAAGCAGATCACAGAGAACCTGCGAAAGGAAGACTTTCCTCTTTGTTACGCTCCTGCCACCGGTCGGTAGCCGGGACCCGTCCTCCACGGCTGGCGACGCGCTCCGGGGCCCCGGCTGCGGACACACCCCACCGCTCGGCCCCAGCGCCCGCCCTCCGCCCTCCGGCCGGGGCCCCGCGCCCTCACCTGCTCCGGCTCCCGCATCCTCCGGGCCGCGCGCCCCGCTCAGCGGCCCGCCTCCCGGGACCCCGCCGCGCGGCCGCCGCAGCCGCGCCCGCACCGCGGCGCGCTCATGGGGCTCGTTAGCCACACTTCCTGTCTCCCCGCACTCGGCCCGCAGACCATTCCCCTGGGCAAGCCCGGCGGCGGCCGAGGCGAGGGGAACCGCCCGGAGGTGGGACCCGCCGGCGAGGAGCGGCGCACAAAGAAAGCGCGGGGCGGCAGGAAGACCGGCCGACGGGCTCGGGACGCGCGACCGGAGCAGCGGAGCGGCCGGGCCGGGCGGGCGGGCGGGCGGGCGGATCTGGGGAGGCGGCTGCGGCCCGTGACCTCAGAGAGTTGGAATGCGGGCGGCGGGGCGCGGGGGAGGCGCGGACGAGGCGCGGACAGCTGCGCCCGCCCGCCCGCCGGGGAGGGGGCGCGCCGCTTCTTTTTTTAATCATATGACCACTTATTTTAAGAGTTGCCAAATAAAGCAAGGCTTTTAATACAAATGAGGGGAAGGGGATATTAATTCTGTTCCAGGTAAAGGGTGTTATTCCTGTGTTATTAGGCGGTTCGTAAAATGCTATTATTGCTGGACTTTTTCGTTTACTCTTGTACGTGTCTGAAAACAATTGAAACGTTCCGTTTCATCTTTCCAGGCTTACCCCATATCTAAGGATTCATTTACCCCCATAAAAAAAAAAAAGGGAAAAACGCTAGTACTGGGTGGGAAAGTCCCCTTTCTCCAAAATGGGTTGATATGCCTCAAATAACCCGTGGGTCTCAAAAAAAGGGAAAAGTTGTATGCGTATGCGATACAAAGTTAGAACTATAGAGGATGGGGAATCCAGCGTCAAGATGTCTAGGTTCAAATCTCAGTGCCAACACCTGCTCGCGGGTGACCTTGTGCAGATCTCTTAACCGCTCTGCGCGCACTTCCTCTTCTAAAATGGGACTAAAATTTTCACTGTCCAATAGCTATTGTAAAATAGGTAATTTCATTTAATTCTACACCCTAGTAGCAATGTTTATTATTACATGACGTTATTACACTGTCCTATTATTATCACTGTAATGCAACAGTTAGCCAGGGAATAAAGCTGTGGCCCCGACACCAACACAACAGGGTGCTGGATCTCTCCTTGGCATGTGGTTTGAGACTTTGGAGCAGAGAAGCTTCTGTGTGAATGATTTTCTAAAATACTGTTGTTTCTGGAAAGCTTGTTTCTGTTACATCTCTTTTAAATCTCATTTTCTTCTTCAACAGTTAACAGACACTTACTGAGTACTTACAATAAGTCAGGGTCCCTGGACACACGGGACTCCTGGTAGAGTGGGTGATGAACACGCCTACACACCACACACACAGGACGCAGGGGGCCTCAATGGTGAGCGCCACCCTGGAGGGAGAAGCGCTCTGGAAGGACAAAGCCTGGGCAAGATTCAGGTTGGGTCATGCAGCTAAAGGCACCTAAGATTACAGGTGTTTTTAATGGAAAAAAAAAATTGTGTTCATAATTGATATTTCAACTGGACACTCTGAGGGGCTCAATTTGTGTGTAAGGAAAGAAAAAGAGACATGAAAACCAGTCACGTTTCTGGTCTCCCAACCTAGAAAAATTGAAATTGTGTGTGATTCTTCTCCCTTTCTCATCCAGCCTGTCACTAAGACCTGAATATTTCTTCCTTTGAAATGTTTCACAAATTTCCTTTCCACTCTGTTCCTCCACATCCCCTCCCCCGTTCTAATCCAAACCCTCATCATTTTACATCCGGATTACTGCAACAAGGGTGGCCTCCTTGCTTCTGCTTTCTCAGCTCTCTGCTGTTTCCAGGCTATTACCAGGCTTGCCTCTCTCTTGGGACCCCCAAGGCTAAGTCAGCTTTTCTCCCTGACCTTTAGGGCCTTTCTAAACTGGCCTCGGCCTCTCAGACCATCTTTATTTCTCTCCTCTCCCAAGTGCTCCCATCAAGCCGCTCTCCTGGCCCGGAGCCCCTGCTGCCCACCCGCTTCCATTTGCCTAAGCCTTCCGTTTCTCTCCAAGCCTCAACTCCAGGCTGTCTGCTTCCAAGACAGCTTTCTAGCCACCCCATTCCACAATGACCGCCATACTTGGCAACAACTTTAAAAACTGTTTCGTGAAGGCTTGTTTTATATCTCCTCGAATTCCTAGGACACTACTCTGCAGAGAGTAGGCAGTAAATAAACACGTGTTAATTGAATTGGAAAGAAAATAAAAGAATTTTAAAAATAGAAAATGATCGTAAAACCCAAGGTTGTTAGATAACTGAGTTGAACTTCTGCCCTCATAATCCACACGTGTCATTTGCTGACCAAGTACTATAGCTGTTTTCCTTCAACCACATTCATTTGACAGTAACATCCTCATGAGTAGCCACTAGAACGCTTTCAAAGTGTTACACATGAAGTTATTATTTGCTTATGTTCATATGGAAGGGAAGTAATTTATATGGTTGGATGCAAAAAGATACAAAAGTGTGTAAGTAAAAAGTCTCCACCCTGCCTGCTAGGTACCCAGCTCTCCTCCTGAGGGTAACCAGTGGTGCTACCATAATCCTATGTATCCATCTAGAAATATTTTGTAGATATGTAAACAATTGCATATCTGTATCTTTCTCCTCTTGTTACCTGGAAAGTGGCATATTACAAATACTTTTTCATATGCAGGTAATTATTATTCAAATAAATAAATTAAAACTTACAAAAGGAAGTCCTGTAATAAAAAGAGGGAAGGAAATTGTGGTTTGGGTTGGGTGGTACATTGGCTAATAGTTTTTTAGGAGTTAAGGAATTAATCTGCCCCCAGCTGGTGTGACTCAGTAGATCAAGTGCCAGCTTGTGAACTGAAGGATCACCAGTTCAATTCCCAGTCGCAACCCAGCACATGCCTGGGTTATGGGCCAGGTCCCTGTTGGGGGGTTGTGCAAGAGGCAACCACACATTGATCTTTCTCCCCCTCTCTTTCTCCCTCCCTTCCCCTCTCTCTAAAAATAAATAAAATATTTAAAAAGAAAGGAAATTAATCTGCTTTGAGAGCTTGGTGAGTGCCCATTGTACCTCACTATACAAATTCCCATTATCCACAAGAATCTCAATTGAATGACCGCGGCACCTTATATAGAGATAATAATGCCTGGGGGAGGAAGAAGTGGGAGTCAGAGGTGGAGAAGTGAAATTTCTTTTGGTCTGAACCCTCACTGTGTGCCACACTCAACGCTGCCTCAGGTACAACACTTTTTCAGCTGCAGCAGAGAGAGAAATTAGAGCTTAGATTCCCCTGGACATCAGAGAAATGATGATGTTGCAACATATTTGCTCAAATGGACATGAATGGAGAAAAGGATGTCCGCCTCAGTAGTGTAAAAGACTGTTATGACTCTAATTCCTAACACTTAAGGGTGTTCATCCGAGGGCTGACATGCCATGTGATATTCACTACTGAAAAAAACTTGTTCATTCACCCCATGTTTATTGGAAGACAGATGCTATTGTACAAAGAGAAAGGATGCCATAAGATGCCATAGCCTTGTCTTCAAAGACTCATCATGGGATAAACAGGTGAATATCTAACTCTAGTAGAGCGGGTGAATGAATATACTAATGGGTATACGAGGTCTGTCTGGAAAAAGTCCAGCCGTTGTTAATATAACGAGAATGGTTTGCGCAATATCGATGTAACCTGGCAGCCAAGGAGAGTGGACTGGAACGTGTACATGTGAATAATGACTACTTCACTGCACTAGTCAGTGGAGGCGGTAGATGCCATTGAGTGAGCATGTCTACAGTGTGGCTGTCACACTCAAAATGAGCAAATAGAGCGATGAATCTGCCTCAAATTTTGCATTAAGCTTGAAAATTCCTCCACAGAAACTACTGGGAAGATTCAGAAGGCCGCAGCTGTGGGCAACTGGTGATTGGCAGCTTCATCATGGTAATGCACCTGCTCATGCATCAAGGCTCGTGCAAAGTTTTTAGGTGAAACATCAAATCACCCAGGTGACTCAGTCTCCCAGCAGCCTAGATTTGGTCCCCTGTAACTTCTGCCTTTTCCCAACACCAAAGTCAGCTTTGAAAGGGAAGAGATTTCAGACTGTCAATGAGATTCAGGAAAATACAAAAGGGCAGCTGATGGTGCCTTGGAAGAACTGTTGTGAGGTCCCAAGGTGCCTACTTTGAAGGCAACTGAAGTTTCATTGTCCTGTGTATGATTGTTCTTGTTTCTTCTATCTTCTTCAGTAAAGGTCTCCATTTTCATATTACATGGCTGGATACCTTCTGGGCAGATCTTGTATATACCAAGTGGAGTGGTAATGCCTGGTTTATCACTGTGATCAGCTTCAGGCTGAGTCTGGAAGGATGAATAAAAGTTCTCTAAGCATTCAAAGAAAAATAATAGAAAAGCTTTCCAGGCTGAAGAAACCACCCCCAACCCCTCACCTATGCCCCCTACCCCCAACACATATTTACAAAAGATGTACAACACCTGGCTGGAATGTTGCCCTGAGAGGGGGTTGGAGATGCCAGGGGGCCAGTATTAGAGGACTCAGGGCTCCATGGAGTTGGGATTAGTGCTCAGGCCTCTGTGACTTCCAAACCTATGCTCTTTTTGGTCATCTCTCTTTGGAAGGCATCCCAGAGTTCTTAGCCAGCACTGTGGTTCATTGCAATCCTGTCTTCATTCTATCCCTTAGAGCAAATTATGTCACCCTCCTGGTTCAGCTAAGTCTTTCAAGCTGAAGACCCCTTTATGGTTTCTCTCAGGGCATCATCCTGGTCACCTTCCTCCTGATGAGATACAGTTTGTGAAGCCGCCTCTTCCAGCGAAGCCCCAGACCATCGGTTTAGTGTGGTTGCCCCTTCTGTGTTCCACACATGTAACTCCTGAGATCTACATATTCTTAACCAGCCTGCAAGTCTCTCTTTCAATAGTTTTAAATGATTGTCCCAAAAGTAAACTCTTTCTTGAATAAATTTTAATACAAGTTTCCCTATTCTGAATACATTTTAATAAAAACATTCTCTATTCTTTTAACATGTTCACTCTTTTTCTTTTTTTAAATAAGAGCTGTTTTTAAAAATTTTTACTTATTGATTTTAGACAGAAAGAGGGAGGGGGGAGAGAGAGAGAGAGAAATATCAATTTGTTGTTCTGCTTATTTATGCATTCGTTGATTGATTCTGGTATGTGCCCTGACTGGGTATCAAACCCAAAACTTTGGCATATCGGACAACACTCTAACCAACTCACTACCTGGCCAGAGCTAACATGTCCTTTCAATATTATCTCTGTATTGGCTAAGAATTTTGTACTCAGGAATGGAAGAACATGCATTTTCATTCTTAGTTCTGAAATGGTGGAAAAACAAATAGAAGCAGCGTGCCTGTCTTTTGGACAGTGAATGTCATGAATGCAGGCTTGCTCATCTTTGTGCTCTGGCTCCTAGCACAGTATCTGGCTCAGGGCAGGCATTTAATTTTTAATCAACAAACATAGTGCTGCTATGAGCCGAGCACAGTTTGAAATGCTTCCCAAATATGAACACTTCGTCCTCATTTCATAATAACCCCACGAAGGGGACGCTGGTATCATACTTATGTCACAGATGAAAAAACTGAGGCACAGAGAGGATAAACCACATGCCTAAGTTCTCAGAGGGAGAAGCAGAACTGGGATTCAAACCCAGACAGCCTGGCTCCGGTGTCCCTGTTCTCAGTCACTCTGCTCCACTGCCTCTCATCAATGTTAAATGAGGACATGATCATTGCATTTACCCATGAGAAAGGCTTTTGTGACTTCATCATTAATTTTTTTATCCTACAATATGTAATAAGTGCTTACTATGTGTTTGGCATCATGAAAGACCCTTTGGAGAAATATAGACCTACAAGAAGTTTATAACTTTGTTAGAGAGGACAGACACACACACACACAAAGAGAGAGATACACGTAAATAAAATAAACATTACAGAGAGTATATTGTTTCATAGCAGCAGCTCCCACATAGATGCTGTAGGAATTTAGAAGGAAAAAAATAGTTATGAGATGAAGGACCACATAGCAGTCAGACGCTAGGTGGCCTTACGATTTCTGCCCCTGCTGTTTACATCCTGTATAATCCCCTCTGCTGAGTGTGGGCAGCACCTGTGGCTTGGTTGTAGCTAATAAATATGGCAAGGACAAGGGATTTTGCAGGTTTGATTAAAGCTCTAAATCAGTTGAATTTTTTGGTCAGGTCCTGAGTGGTCCTGACTAAATCAAGTGAAAGCCCTTAGAAGAGGGACCTGGTCTTCCCTCAGCCCAGAGACTCTCTTTGAAGGCATGAATAAGCGAGCAGCCACTGGAGAAAGAGCCATGGCAAGGAACTGGACAACCTCTGGGGCCTGAGGATGGCCTTCAGACAAGAGCCAGGAAAGAGCTAGGGCCCTCACTCATAAAGCCACAAGGAAATTAAATCTAACAATCTAAATGAGCTAGAAAGAGACTTCTTCCTCAGTCAAGCCTCCAGGTGAGAACACAACCTGCCTGACACCTGAACTGCATCCTTCTGAGACCCTGGCCTCAGCTAAGCTGTGCTCAGATTCCTGACCTATGGAAACCATAAGATGATAAATGTGTGTGTGTTTTAAGGTGCTAAGTGTGTGATCATTTGCTAGGCAGCAGTGGATAACTAACAAAGACTACTTCAGGCATTAGTGGATATGGGGAGACCTCTCTCTATGCTTATTCTGATGCCAAAATTTTGTGATTAGGAGCAGGGAGAATTAAGCTGCTTTTGACAGAAATAGGGACATGGGGAGTAGAAACCAACCTGAGTGAGGTGAGGGGATATGCTGAATTTGGAGAAAATACAGATGCCTATCATTAGCTGTAATTTGGGAATAGGGTTTAGGTGAGAACTCAGGGATGATGGAAAATTTGGATATTTTTAGCACAGAGGTAAGAGTTGGTGCCCTGAGAATGAGTTCTCCAGGGGAGATTCAAAGAAAGAGACGAGCAAGAGGATGGGGATTATGTTTTGGGGGAAAGGCCACTGATGAGCCTCAGAGAAAGAAGTGAGAACTAGACCCAGGTGAGCCAGGGTAGTTGTGGAGTCAAACAAAGGACTATGTGTGATGTATTGGTTCCAGTGCACTGAATATTCCATTTTTCCTCCAGGTGTAATTATAATGGCAACCGCTAGGAGGCAGTCTCTATCATACAGGTAGAGAAACAGGGCTCAAATATCTAAACAGTTTAAATATCTATTGGGAGACCACTTCGTTAAGTACGTGACTGTTTAACCACTATGCTGTACACAAAATAATATTAAATGTAAAGTGTAATTAAAGAAAATAAAAAAGTTTAAATATCCAGACCAATACATACTAACAGTAAAGTGAAGGCTAGATTCGAAATCGGATCTCACGCCAAAGCCAGGGATCTTCCCGCTTCACATTTAACTCATCTGTATTTTCCAAAGGAGAGTAAAATTAGCAAGAGGCGCCAAGAGAAGAAAGAACAGTTCTGCAGGTGCCCAGAGAAGCCGAGGTCCTGGGCACGCCGCTGCTCTCCTTGTTGCCAGCAGAGGGCGCGGGAGCGCAGGCTCCTGTAGGCCCTCGTGCGCGCAGGCGCAGGCGCAGGCGCAGGCGCGATCCACTCAGCTTGCTCCGGTGCGCGGCACGGTGGGGGCGGGTCACGCAGACCGCGCAGCTAGAAGCGGTGGTGGCTGTAGCCGCGGGGTTGCGGGCTGGGAACCCGCTCCGGGCTCCGGTTAAGTGAAGCGCCACGCAGTGCTGAGCTCGCCGCCCGCCCTGAAGCCATGGAGATCGGCACCGAGATAAGCCGCAAGATCCGGGTGAGGCTTGAGTCGGGCGGGAGCGGGAAGCCGGGCCTCGGCGGGCGCACGGTTGTCAGGAGTAACGGGGATGGTGGGCCCGGCCTGGACGCAGCGGCCTGGTCGCCGGAGAGTGGTGCCTCCGCGGGCTTGGGGGCAGACGGAGCCGCGGCTGAAAAGGTAGCCGCGGGGAAACAGAAGGGGCGTGGGGGGGCGGTCAGTGAGAGCCGTGCTCAGCTTTGCTGTGAACTGCTTTCGGGTCGTTGCTGGAGAGGGCCGCGGGGACGGAAAAGGGGGTCGGGCAGACGGGGGAGGGGAGCGGGCTGGGAGGTACGCGGAGAGGCTCGGGGGGAGGGGGCCGGGGACGGAGGAGGGGCCGCAGGGAGGTGTCGGGAGGGAACGGGGGAAGGGGCCTTGGCGCCTCTCGCCCCGACCCGGGCGCCCAGGGGGCAGGAGGTCCGCGCACCCTCCCAGTTGCCTCAGCGGTGCAGACTAGGTTTGTTTTCCTAGGGCTTCCCTTCTCTCACGCACTTTTGCCTTTTTTCCCCCCTCAGAGTGCCATTAAGGGGAAATTGCAAGAATTAGGAGCTTATGTTGGTAAGTTGTGTTGCTGTTGTTAGTCTAATGAATTTAGAGTTTGCAGCTAATTAAGTTTCCGTGAGTGCATTTTTCTCATTGTGCGTTTGACTTTGAAGAGACCCTTTTCTGCTTTCAAATGCGATATTCCCTGGTTAGTTCTTTCCTAACCGTTTTTTTTTTTTTTAATCGAGAGCTCTGTATGCAGACTTATTTTTTTTAAAGCTGCCTCTCATTGTGATGTTTTGAAATTGTTCAGCTTCCTCTGTTAGGTACTGGCATGTTTTTATTGTTTTTCCTATTTTGTTTACTTTTCTGTTGATTTTCATTTTTTCGGAATTATTTTGCATATGGGTTACTTGGTATTTTCTGGCATTTGCTTCTGCCATGGTTCAGTGAGTGTTATTTTCAGATCTCTTATTTTTTTTCCTGTTCCTTTCTGTTTTACCTCCGACAGTAACATGTCCTCTTTCTCTTTATCCTTTGTTATCTGTAGAATTTGAATGTTTACTGTGGGCTAGGCGCTGTACTTAACCTTTGTATATGCATTAGGTCGTGATAACCCTCAGGAGGACACTGAAAGGTAAGTAGTAATGTCCCCAATGGTATGAGCGAGGAAACCGAGGCTTGGAGTGCTTGCTTGAGCAAGATTGAGACCTAGGTCTGCCAGGCTGCAGAGCTGGTGCCTCCTGTAGAAATAATAGGTATCACTGACGGTAGTGGTTCTCAGGGTGTGGGAGACTGGAAGGGTCTCTGCAATCAGAATTATTTTCCTGTCAATACTGATGGGGCACTTGCCGCTTTCACTGTGCTGACGTTTCGATTGTGCAGTAGCAACGGTGGGTCAAACTTAGGGTACTTCAGCCTAAATCAAGAAACAAGATCTCACACCAAACTCATGATTCTGTATCTGTTCGTTAATTGCAAGCATAATTCTGTATGAATGTAATTGATAAAGCAGTAAAAATATATTTTTAAAATCCTCGCCCTTGATTACATTTTTAAATATGCAGTGTGAGGACATGGGAAATACCTATAAAGTACTTCTGCTGTATACTGAAACTTGATGGGCTAACTTAGGAAAAAGGATTTGTGAAAGAAAGAAAAAGTGGTTGAGGTGAGAACCGAACTAGCCACTTTTTTCATGCAACATCATTTTTAACTTAAAAGGGCTAAGCTAGTTATAGACACTTGGGTATTTGGCAGACATTTTCTTGAAAGTGAGTAAAGGAAAATAACTGATAGGCTTTGCTACCAATGACAAAAGTTGAGGTTTCAAATGAAAATTAGAGTTTTAGAAAATTTCTGTCTACCTCAGTAAGCTTGACAGCTTTCCAGTATTTCAGAGCCTTTCTGATGAAATCAGTGGTGATATTAACAGATGATTCTTTTATATTGTATAATGAAATGCACCAAAATGGTTTGTATAGCTCAGTGAACTGGTGTTTTGTTTTGTTTTGTTTTGTTTTTTTTCCCAAATGACCGATGCATGATGTTACAGAATTATATGAGGGTAAAGGATCCACAAAAACTCTAGGATGGAGCGATGGGTTTTCCTGCAATGATACAAAAAAGTAAAGTTGTTGATACAGTTTTAGTTTTGATACTACTGCTGACCTTTAAGAAACTATCACTTGTTGAGTTTTGAGGTAGTATCACAAAACAATATCCACATTATCTGCAAAGGCTATTAAAATACTTGTTTTTCCAACTATGTATGTGTTAAGACCAGATTTTCTTCAGTCTTTGTTTAGAACAACATACTACAACAGGTTAAGTGCAGAAGCAGAAATTGGAATCCTGCTGTCTTTTAAACCAGATGTTAAAGAGATTGATAAAAATGTTACTTTATATTTTTGCTTTAATTTTTTGTTTTGGAATATGTTCATAAAAATATCTGTTAATATAAAAGGGATCGTTGTTAACATTTGATAGGTGTATTTTAAACAAATTAATAAATGCATTTTTTAAATTCTCAGTTTTAATTTCCAGTATGGTAAATATCAATAAACTCACATAAATGAAACCTCTCTGGTGGTCATCAATAATTTTTAAGAGTGTAAAAGGCCTCTGAGACCAGATAATTTGAGAATTGCTAGTTTACCACATGCTGGACATGTTACATAAAAGATCTGTTGTTAAGACTTTAATAGGTAAGAAAAATTGAGGCTCATGAGGTTAAAGATGAAGCTGAACCAGGATCGATTTTTTCTTTTATTTGTTCAGCCAGCTTAATGGATGCCAGATATGTATGTGCCAGGAACATGTTTTGGGTTAAAAAGAAGTACACAGAAATGAGAAATTCCTTGATTCCATCGTATGAAATAACAGACATGTTGATAAGTTTAAATTCAATCTTACTGGTGATTCCGGTCATTTATAAAAAACCTCAAACCAATAGTTTTGAGCCTATTAAAAACCTGGTTACAAGCTTAGCAAAGTTCAGTATGAAACATAATTGTAGCCCTGACTGGTGTGGCTCAGTGGGTTGGGTGTCCCCCGCAAAGTGAAAGGTCCCGGGTTCGGTTCCTGGTCAGGGCACAGCCTGGGTTGCTGACCAGGTCCCAGGTTAGGGGGTGTGCTGAGAGGCAACCAAGATGGAGGCAACCAAAATGTCTCTTGCACATTGGTGTTTCCCTTCCTCTCTTTATCCCTCCCTTCCCCTCTTTCTAAAAAATAAATCTTTTTTTTTTTTTTTAAGAAAATGTAATTGTAGTACAAATACCATGTATTTTATAGCTTTCAAAATGTTTTCATGTAGTTCAGCTCTAAATGTGGTGCTGGAGTGGGGTGGCAGGGAGTGTGGCATTTCTCTTACAGGGGAAGAAATGGAGTCTTGGGAAGGCTAAATAGAGCTGGTTAGTGGCAGATTTCAGTGTTCTGGGTTTCTAGTACGTTAACTTTATTTTGGGAACTCGGTGGGCTAATAAACAGGTAATGGTCACTCCTTTAAGCTCCACTAGAACTCTGCTGAAATATGTCTTGACGATTAACATTAACACAGCTTCCCAACTTGTTTGTCTCTGCTTCTTGACTGGAAATTTCTTTGAGGGTAGAGACTCCATATTTGTTTTGTCCCAGGGGCCTACCAGAGAACCTGGTTTTTTCCAAAGCATTGGTATAGTAGGTAAACAGAGGTCATCATTAATAGGTTCTTTTTGAAATAAAAGTGTGCATGATTTATGTTTACAATTAGCTGCCAAATTATTTGTGCATCATTGACCTTCTGAAAAGGGTACTTTCTAATCCTTTTCTTTGCGCTAGAGAAAGTCCTGGAGACTTTTAAGTTTATTGAAATGATCCTTTAATAAATATTTGACAGAATAGTCATGGGGCTGTAAAGTACAGCGTAGAGAATATAGCAACAACATTGTAGTAACTGTATATGGTGTCAGGTAGGTACTAGATCTGTTGGGCTGATCACTTTATAAGTGTCTAATTATTGGGTTGTACACCTGAAACTAATATATTGTATGTCAGCTATAATTTTAAAATGACAAAATATTTTAAAAAGTAAATATTTGACTACCTATTTTCAAGGCATTGGGCAGGATGTGAAAGGTGAACAGCCCTTTTTGTTGAGAGTGATAAGGTCTCTTTCATCTGTTTAAAATGGAGCACTTCAGTAAGGTGACCATTATAACTTGGCACAATATTTCATTCACATTTTAGAGGTATGAATTTACAGAAAGCTTCAAAATTTTTAGTTTTTTGTCCATATGTAGATTTCAAATGAACTTGAGAAAGCAATTAGAATTCTGTAAAAATGTATTATGAACACATTAATTTTTCATTAGAGTCTTATTTCCTATTTTGTATCTACTAAGAAAATAATGTATAAAATTCTAACAGTTTGTTGAGATGTGCTTGCTAAACATTAAACTGCACATATTCAAAGTGTACGGTTTGGTATGTCTTAATATGACTATTTCATAATCAAGCTAATGAACATATCCCTCATTCTCAAAAGTTTTGGGGGCTCCTTTGTATCCCAACCTCCACCTTTTTTTCCTGTTGACACCCTGTACCCACCCAGGCAACCACTGATCTCATTTTTATAAAATTTTAGAATTTGCAAACTTAATATATAGTGACAGCGCAGTCCTCGTTTTCGTCACCAACATTATGAGGGAGAGAAACTGTCAAACTGCCAAAGCATTCCATTTTCTTTGTTGACCTTTCCTGGGTTACTAGTGGCAGCTCACAGTAGGTACACTTCGCATAAATACGCTACAAGGGTTATTTACTAAAATACTTAGAAAGCAGTGGGGGCCTTTTGATATTCCACAAAGACAATAATAAATGGCTAACTACTTGACCTGTAGCTTCTCATATCATATTTTATGCTCCCATCAGATATTCTGACTTCTCTCCATTTGTGGAGAGAAGATTGGGATTTCTCAATGAAGTTGTGCTTTTCTTGAACTGGATTTTTGACATTTCTCCTTGAAATAAATGTCTTGACAGTACTTCTGAAGTGAACCTTTCTGCCTACATAGAAATATTATGAGTATTTAAGGTATTAAAGGAGTTGAAAGAATTTTTTTGGTAGGGGTTAGTGTCCTGATAAATGACTTTTGCTTCCTTACCCTCTCACTGTGGTGGGGTTTTTTGTTGATTTGGGTCCTAGATCTCACCCTCACAATCACTTTGTAGGGGAGGGTATTAGTATAAAACAATGAGTTGAAAGGATTTAATCTAAAGATTGAATTTTTAAACGATGTAGGTCTTTTTGGTTTCAGTTTATCTGATGTTGCTGCAAGGTTGTTACCCTGAGTAATTGAAATTTACCAAGGATAAAAGTGTTCTTGAGAAATGAGTAACAAACACCAAACTAAACAAAACTCATTTTTGAGGAATGTCCATATGCTTCTAGAAGCTTCTTGGAAATTAATGGGCATTGTCAAAAAGATGAAGGAAATGTATGCACTGTCAAATTTGATACTGTAATTCAGAATATCTAGTTTTGTAAGTATTTGTTACTCCAATTCCCATCCTTCTAGTAATCTAAATGCTATAGAATGAAGAGGAAAAAAAGCTCTGCTTTCTTGTCCAACATAATTTCAGTAGAGCTGAGATGCTAATTCTTAGAGCTACGTCTATATTTTCAATCATGTCAACTTTAGATAGAAGAAAATATTGAGGAAAACAAAGTTTTTATATACTTTTCCTTTTAAATAGATGAAGAACTTCCTGATTACATTATGGTGATGGTGGCCAACAAGAAAAGTCAGGACCAAATGACAGAGGACCTGTCCCTGTTTCTAGGGAACAACACAGTTCGATTCACCGTATGGTATGTTTCTGAATATTTACCCCCTTAGACCAAAGTTTGGTGCAAGTCAGAGTAGGTAGTCTGTCTGAAAACAGGTTTCTGATACGAGATTCAGTGTGGAGAGGCAGGTCACGAGCACTGAGAGTGCAGCCTCTGGAGCCAGGCTGCTGTGGTTGAATCCTGGGCCTGCCTCTTGCCTTGGTTTCTCCATTTGTAAAATGGGGACAGTAGATCACCTTTATAGGATCTTGGTGAGGGTTAAGTGAGCTAATGCATGTGATATGCTCACAGCTGTGCGGGGCTCTCAGCAAGTCCATAGTACATGTTAACTGTAGTTACTCTGTTTCCCTTGTAAACTTCTGCATTGTATCATTCTCCTCTAGCCTAAATCAACTTCAGATATTTTTTTGAATTGGGTTGACTTCCTAAATTTTTGTGGTTTTTTTTTAAGTACAGAATTTTTTGAAGTTTGGACTTTTATTTTTTAATTATGTATGTATTTTTAGAGAGGGGAGAGGAAGGGAAAAGGGAGAGAAACATTGATGTGTGGGAGAAACATCAATCAGTTGCCTCTTGCGTGCCCCCAGTTTGGGACCTGGCCCGCAACTCAGCCATGAGTGCTGACTGGGAAGCAAACCGGCAACCTTTCAGTCCCCAGGCCAGTGCTCAATCCACTGAGCCACACCAGCTAGGGCTAAAGTTTGGAATTTTAAAATAGGCAACTCTGTGTTCAAACATAAGTTAATATTGTAATTTTCAGTGCCCTTTTTCAAACTACATAGGCCTTTAGTTTAGAATACTAACCAAAAGCATAAGATTCAGTTTAAGAAGGCAGGTCAGGTTCTGGGACCGGGTTTACGGCAGACTGAGGGCTAGGGGAGGGTAGTGATGTGGCTGAGCATAGAGCAGGAAGTACGGTATAAGGCCCCTCACCCTGGGAACCAGCAGTTACAACCCAGGTGGGTGATGGAGCAGGAGGCAGGTGAGCAGAGGACTGCTTAACTTGAATGGCAAGAGACTGGGACAGGGAATGGGAGACACTAAGGAGGAATGTAAAGCTGGTTAACTTCCTGCCTTTAAACCAAAAGCTGGTCTTGAAGATGTTTTGTCCCAGCAGGTTAAATGTATGCTTTACAACTTTTTTGAAGCTTTCTTGCAATTCCTCAAAGAATTTGCTTTGAAGAACATGGAGTGCAGTAGTCAATCCTCAAATTTTTGGTACTATGTTTGGCACAAAATGTGTGTGACCTAACCCACTTGTTCGCGTTTGTTCCCAGAATTTACCCCACTCTCCTCCACACTCCTCCCCCCACAAAAAAAATCGTGGTGTTTTCACTGGGGAAATTACCATTATCATCAGTGCTTTTTTTTTTTTTTAAAGTCTTCACCATTTCAGGTATTTGTTTGATGTACATTTTAGTGACCTGACTTTTGGTTCAACCTTTAGGTCACTTGAGATTTGAGTCCACTAATGTAATATGAGAGATTGACCTAGTAGATCATTTCTCAGATAACTTGGATGGAATGTGTTAGACAAATTTCTTACATAAACAGACTGTCAACTGAATTAGAATTTAAAATCAAATTAATTCAACTTCACCTTGCCATAAATTCAGTCCTTACTAATGAGTGTCTGTTACAGCCTGTGGAGAACTTAAATCAGGTCACAATGTTAAGAGCTCCTGGTTTTTGTTCCCTAAACTCTTTGAAATGACCCATTAAATTCAGTCCTTTAACATGCCCTGATATAAGTGATGGTGTCTCTCATTTTGGCACTTTGCTTTCCCGAGGTAAACGTTCATTGACACCAGTCCCAAACAGACTGCTCTGATTCCTTGGAGCCCTGCAGTGACTGTGTCCCAGGTGACAGGGCCATGTGACCGGGCTCTGGGTGGAACATCATGGACTGTTTCTGGTGTTGCAGGAGGCATGGCCTCTTGGAAGGGCTGGAAGGCAGATGTGCCCTGTATGTGACTATTCAAATAAAATAGGTTATATGATGAGCAAGATTATAGTCTTTGCTTGTTTACCACATTAGTTTTGTAAAGAATAATTAACAGTGAAATGTGAATATATTTTGAGATTTTTAAGTGTTTTCACCTCAGAATTAATTTTTCAGAAACCATGAGTAGATAAAATTAATTTAAACTACCTAAACAGTTGTAATAGTATGCTGTAGCACACATTTGTGATAGTTTATCTTTCATCATAAGCTACATTGCATATTTAGTCCTTATGAAACAAAATAACATTCTTCCTATATAAGACTGTGGTTGGATCATATGGTTGCCCTTATTTTTTTGCAGAGGCTAGATGTTGAAAATAGTAATAAAAATATGATTTTTGATTGGCTCTTATAGTGTTCATATAAAGTTTTTAAAAAATGTGAAACTTAATACTATATATCCATTAAACCATTTAGCATTTAGTACCATTTATCTGAAGATTGATTCTGTAATGTCAATTTAGAGTGACAGTTGCAATAAAATCTTCACTGACTAAAGGGTGCTTTACTTTTTTATTGTTTTTTCTTTCAGGCTTCATGGGGTATTAGATAAACTTCGCTCTGTTACAACTGGTAAGATTAATAAAAATGGACTTTCTTTGGAATTTGCTGTAGCATATGATTGTTTGCATTCTGAAGACATTTAAACTGCTTTGGGGGGGGAGCCCATAAATTTGAAAACAGTTCATTTAAACATTTTTTAGGAAGCACATATTTTTATGGTTTTAAGAACAATATACAATGTAATTCAATGATAATTTAAATAAAGGAAGGAGAACTAAGCAATTTATCCTTAGGAAGTAATACAAAAGGGTATAACAATTTAATCTTAAGGATGGTTTAGTATTTTATAATTGAAAATTACTTACAAGTTCAGTAATAGTAAAATGAATAAATTATGATGTTACTATGTATGGAGTAATATTCAGCCACTTAAAATGGTGTGGAATAATATATATTGCTTTTAAATGTGTGATGAACAAGGGGAAGGAGCAAAGTAATAAAAGTAGTTTTAAAAGGTCATGTGTTTTTCTCTCCAGACCCCTCTAGTCTGAAGTCTTCTGATACCAACATATTCGATAGTAACGTGCCTTCAAACAAGAGCAGTTTCAGTAGAGGGGATGAGAGAAGGCACGAAGCTGCAGTGCCACCCCTTGCAGTTTCTGGCACTAGACCTGAGAAAAGAGATTCCAGAATTTCTTCCAGTTCACAGGAGCAGAAAACCAATAATGTCAGGTGAGAGTCCTTTGTAGACCTTCTGTGGGCAGATGGGGAGGTATGTGACATTTACATTAGTTTTTATATCTTTAAATTCCCATTTTCAGAAATTTTTGGAAATAGCGAGATGGTCGTGAGCAATTTTTAAAATAAAGAATGGGCCCTTGCCCTGCCTTGTGTGACTCCTTTGGTTGGGCGGCGTCCCGCAAAGTGAGAGGTCCCTCGTCCGATTCCTGATCAGGGCACACGCCTGGGTTGTGGGCCCCGTCCCCAGTTGGGGCACGTGCAACAGGCAGCTGATTGATGTTTCACACATTAATGTTTTTCTCTCCCTCTTTCTCCCTTTCCCTCTCTAAAATAAAACGAATCTTAAAAGAAAAAATAAAGAACGGGCCCTGGCCTTGTTGCTCAGCAGTTGGAGCCTTGTCTCTTATACCAAAAAGGTTGTGGGTTTGATTGCCAGTCAGGGCACGAGCCTAGGTTGTGGGTTTGATCCTGGTTGGGGCATGTATGTGAGGCAGCTGGCGGATGTTTTTCTCTCACGTCAGTGTTCCTCCCTTACTCCCTCCAAAAATCAGTGACCAAATATATTGTCGGGTGAGGATTAAAAAAAGAAGAGTGAATGAGACCACATTATCTCAAATATAGTAAGTCAAATTTCAAAAAAAGAATGACATTTCAAAGTAGATTTTAATTGAATACATAAAGGGACTATTCAAACACTTTCATTACAATTTAAGTAAATACTCTATGACAATTTAAACATATTCCTCTAAATTGGTTTTAATATGTTTTTTTGTGTATGTGTTTAATAGACAGGCATATGATGATGGAACTGCAACCCGACTAATGTCAACAGTGAAACCTCTGAGGGAGCCAGCACCCTCGGAAGATGTGATTGATATTAAACCAGAACCAGATGACCTCATTGATGAAGACCTCAATTTTGTGCAGGAAAATCCCTTAGCTCAGAAAAAACCTACAGTAACGCTTACATACGGTTCTTCTCGCCCTTCTATTGAAATTTATCGTCCACCTGCAAGTCGAACTGCAGATAGTAGTGTTCATTTAAACAGGTTGCAATTTCAACAGCAGCAAAACAGTATTCATGCTGCCAAGCAACTTGATATGCAGAACAGCCGGGTATATGAAACAGGACGTTTGTGTGAGCCAGAAGTGCTTAACAGCTTAGAAGAGACGTATAGTCCCTTCTTCAGAAACAACTCAGAAAAAATGAGTATTGAGGTTTGTATATACTTGTAAGTCTTGGCTTGTTAGCTGAAAATTGACAGTTCTTTATACTAAATGGTATGTGAAGTAACTAAATACATATTGCAAGTTTATTCTGAACTGCTGTGCTATATTGGGTTGGCCAAAAAGTTTGGTTTTTTCCGTTAAGATCGCTGTAGTAATGCTTAGTTGTGTTTAACTTCATTTGAAACAATTTTGTTAGGTTGTATTATGATAGCTGTCATACAAGCAGGCATTTTTTCTTACCAAATTGCTAAATTTTTGTGTAGCCATATTAATATAAAGATGGAAGAAAATACGCAACATTTTCAGTGTACTATGCTTTATTATTTCAAGAAAGGTAAAAATGCAACTGAAATGCAAAAACAGATTTGTGCAGTATATGGAGAAGGTGCTGTGACTTACTGGATGTGTCCAAAGTAGTTTGCGAAGTTTCATGCTGGAGATTTCTCGTTGGGTGATGCTCCATGGTCGGATAGAAATTGGTAGCCATCAAATCGAGACATTAATTGAGAATAATCAATGTTCTACCTCGTGTGAGACAGCCAACATACTCAAAATATCCAGATCACTAAAGTTACTGGTGAAAATGGAAAAATGTGTCTTTTATTTTACAGAAAAAAACGACTTTTTGGCCACCCCGATATTACACTAGTTAGATTTTTCTCTCTGTGACTGATTCCTGCAGAAATTTTACATCTTTACTTTCCTGGTATGCCAACATATGAGATAGTTTTAACCGTACATTGTAGTTTTGCTGAGATTTTAGGTCACTATTAGATATTTCACAGCATGTACTAGTAAATGCTTTATTATTTTCCTCAGCAGTGCTATGTGTTGCTGTTTATAAATGGATGTAAAGCATCAGTTTTTGTTTTCACTAAAGGTTGGCTATTAGGGATAATATTCATATTTTTATAAGAAACCAGGAAATAGCCCATGAATTTTTAATATGATTGGCTTTTTCTTAAAAAAATGCTGTGGTAAAACTTTGTTATTTTCTGAGACTAGGTAAGCATGAATTTATCTGATTGCAGGAAGAAAACTTTCGAAAGAGAAAGTTGCCTGTGGTAAGTTCAGTTGTTAAAGTTAAAAAATTCAATCACGATGGAGAAGAGGAGGAGGAGGAGGAGGATTGTGGGTCCCGCACAGGAAGCGTCTCCAGCAGCGTGTCAGTGCCGGCGAAGCCCGAAAGGAGGTACCTGCACATGTCTGTGAAGTAACCTTGAATTGCATGGTGGAGTCTTCTGGGTTCTTAAAGAGGATATCATAAACATAAAAATTTAATAGCATACGAGACTTTTCCATTGGTTTTTGAGAAAAACCTATTAATGAAAGAAATTTCTTAAAATTGGAGAAATTGTAGAGGATATTAAAAACTAACAGGTGGAAAAGTTGAATGGATTCATTATCGTTAAAAGTTAATAAGGTTTAGGTCTAGTTGTCATGTCCTAAAAACTGCAGCTGTCCAAAACCTAAGAGAAAGCTGTAGTAAAGGCGTAATGGATGGCTAGCACATCAAGAACTGAAATCTATAATAAAATATTTTTCTTAACTTTTTTAGACCCTCACTTCCTCCTTCTAAACAAGCTAACAAGAATCTGATTTTAAAGGCTATATCTGAAGCTCAAGAATCTGTAACAAAAACAACGAACTATTCTACAGGTAACTTAAAGGAGTTATGTTTTTATTGAGTAAAACGATTTTTGTAACTCTTGAGTAAGCTAGAAACAATTGCTCCTCGGTGTGGTACGATAAAGATGCCTACCCCATGTCAAGACCAAGATGAGGCTCATAGAGCAATGGTTTTAAAAGGAGATTTGACTAGTTTGAGAAACGTTCCTGTCAGTGGACTTTAGCTCTTTGAGCAACTACAGTGTCATTTACTCCCTCTTCCCAGTGTGTATGAAACATCGTAAATATAAATTATTAACCTGTTTTAAAATAAAGGAAATGTGTCAGCCATAAGCTAGTTATACAGAAAGGTCATTCTGAAATGCAAACCAAATCAGGGATGCCATATTGTCATTAAATTCTTTATTCTATGCCCTGTATACTGGAGCCATTGTATGAAACTGTTGTTAATAAGTTGATTACCTACTTTAAAATTTATTTTTGCTACATGTTTGATGACTTCTTTTAGCACTGTTTTTGCTTTCCATTATTTTTTGCATCTCTTTTTGTGACCCCTTCCTAAAGTGAAGTAAACCATAAGCTCTCACCTTTTGACCCTAAGAGCCATGTTTCCCCCTGCTTCTCCTCATCCCTAATTTAACCTGTGAACATGAAATTGAACATGGTTTGACATACAGGATAAGGATTATTTGGCCTGTACTTGACCTAATAATTCCTCTATTTCCATTCCCATTTTTTTCTGTCACGATACTGTTTAAAATGATGAGAAATTTAGAGAATTTTACTCAGTGTGACCTTGAAATTTCTTGCTATTTATGATAGTTGGAGATAGCCCAAGTCTTTTTGAGAAATAGTATTGAAATTGTTTCTTTACCTAGTTTATCTGAATTTGAAGTTGTTACAGGATCGTGAAGCAGAATTGCATTTGGTTCAAAATGAATACATATGTGCTTCAGTGTATATATGGCGTGTGATTTAAAACTATAGATGTTTACATACATGTTGGTATTTAAGTCAGGTTATCTATCTCTTGAGAATATTGTAAGAAAAAATGAGGTGGTATCTGTGAACTGTTTTAAACTTCCCATGTTCTGAAGTGAAGGAGGTATGGAGGTATTTACATTAACATGACTGGTGAGTTTGATGTATTACTACATTTGCATTTCCATCTTTTTTTGCTTTTTATATAAAAGTCTCACAGAAACAGACCCTTCCAGTTGCTCCCAGAACTCGAACTTCTCAAGAAGAATTGCTGGCAGAAATGGTCCAGGGACAGAGCAGGACCTCTAGAATAAGTCCCCCACTTAAAGAAGAAGACACAAAAGGAGATAATATAGAAAAAAGTCAAGGTAATAATTTAAATGAAATTTCATTCTTTATTAGACTTTTTTCATGAGGCATTAAATATTTTTCAGTGAGTGTTTATGAAATGTTATATTATGAAAAAAGTGCTCACCAGCCCAAAAACAGAATAAGAAGGGACCATGAGGAATCTATACCTACATTTCTCAGAATTTTAGAAACCTGTTTGTTGTGGAAATTTTTAATGTTCTCAGCAGTGGGAAGAATAGTGCAATGAATTTCCATGAACTCTGTCACCTAGCTTTAATGTGATCAGTATTTTGCTAGTCTTTAGAAAGTGCCAATTTAAAGATACATAGGAATATATGTTACAGCTTTCCTTCTTTTTGTTAATTCTTCCCCTGTTCTCTTGAATTTGAAATCTTACCTAAATCTGCCCCTTCTCAGTGTCCTGTGTGTGTCTCTCTCTCTCTCTCTCTCTCTCTCTCTCACCTGCCATATATGCCTTATTGTCCCAGTGGCCCTACTTTATCAAACCCTTATGCCTGACTGTGCTACAGTTAGCTTCCAGCTGATCTCTGCGCTTCCTTTCTCTCAACCCCCCCTGCCCAGCTGCTGCACAGTCTCTGTCTAAAGCATGATTTACTATGGGACTTCTTTGTGAGAGCACTTACAGTGTTGCTGTGCCCCTACCCCGCACCCCATCAGTGCATGGCCCAGGCCTGATGCCATCAGCCTGGCCTCCCCAGCTTCCTTGCCAGGCTGTTCCCCCACTGTTCTCCACTGTTTGTTCTGTTCCCATTAGGAAAGATTCTAGTTTCTTCTTTTTTTCTGCTACTATGATCTGAATTTAAAAGCCCCACCAAAACTGTGTGTTCATCATGTTATATCTAATACACTTTTCTCTCACTAGGCTATGTTTTTTTACTCCTCTTCAGCTGTGTCCTTTAAATTGTTCTGGGTTCATCTCACATACACTTGATTAATGAAGCTTTGTGAGTTCATCCTGTATTTGTCGTCTTTGTTCTCTCTTTTTAAAAAAAATCTTTGACTGTACTCCATGTCTTTGACTTTGTAATTCATTCTTTGACTATTTTCCATGTCAGCATTATGTGCAGTTGCAATAAATGATGGACATGAGTATAGGAAAACCCAAAACAGCCAGTAGGTAGTAACTGAAAACTCTGAGTGGGCCAATTTGTGAAGAGTAGCTGGTTTCGAGCTTCAGTAAAAGGGATTACAGTGGATTGAAGCCAACGATTTCACAATGATATTTTTATTTGCTGTTCCCTTTTTTTCCCATGATATTTTTAAAGAAGTAGACCCTTAATTGGCCCCCTTCTGGAAAATAATAAATACTCAACCAGATAAATAATTGAACACTTATGGTGTCTTCTGTGGTACAGGAATTAGCATGTTTTTATAAAGTTTTATTGGAACTATGCCACCTTACTCATTGTTGTATTATCTCTGCCTACTTTTGTACTATAGCTGCAGATTTGAACAGTTGCAATAGGCCATATAGCCCACATAACCTAAAATAGAAGATGTTTGCCAACCCTAGATATAAATGAGGGAAGCATCTTTTAAAATAATTCTAGCTAGTAAGTAAAAACAAAATGAGAGAATTACAGGGGTTTATTTTTGTTTGGTTTTTTTGCAACTTAGGAATTAAAGAATCTAGGTGCTGTTCATAATAGCTACTAACACTTTTTTTAAAAAATGAAAACCAACCATTTTGTGCCTCCTGATGATGAAAATAAAACTACCTTAGTCTTGTCAGAGGATTTTAATCTGAGTGATCAAGTCTGGTCCAGCGGTCACCTTGCAGGAGTACAGAGGCCAGAGAAGTATGTTGGTTGTACTCTGAGCATACAACAGGCAAAGTTCAGTTTCTGGGAGTTACGTAGGTCAAAAAGCCGGAGAATTTTGGATTAAAAGACTTAGCCCTGGCTGGTGTGGCTCAGTGGATTGAGCTCCGGCCTGTGCACCAAAGGGTCACTGGTTCAATTCCCAGTTGGGGCATGTGCCTGGGTTGTGGGCCTGGTCCCTGGTAGGGGGTGCGTGAAAGGCAGCCACACGTTGATGTTTCTCTCCCTCCCTTCCCCCTCTTTAAAAATAAACTTAAAAAGTTCATAAATTGGGCATCATTATATTATTTTACCCAGGTAGTGTTTCTTTGGACACATCTGTGTTTGCCGTTTTTTGTTCTCATAGGTATCTCTTGAATGTTATTTGGGGGTCATGATTTTCTAATATTTTGAAGTATTTTTAAAGTATATTCTTTGGGAGTTTCTTTAAAACAGATCTGTTGGTAAATTTCCCAAGAGCCTATTTACCTATAAGCATTTTTGTTTCTCCTTGTTCTTATGCAGTAGTTTTTCTGGATACCCACATCTAGATTAACAATAGTTATTTGCTTTTAGCACCTCATCTATCTTATCCCATTGTCTTCCTGCTCCCGTTACTGTTGAGTGGACTTCTGTCATTCTGATTGTTTGTTGTTCCTTTGTAGGTGATCTGTTCTTTCTCTGGCTGCTTTCAAGATCTTTGTCTCTGATGTTCTTTGATGTGTCTAGGTGTGGATTTTCTTTTATTATTTCTATTTGGTATATGTTTTAATAAAAATACTTGAAACATTTTACATTTTCAAATGCATACTCATAGAAAATTTGGAAAAACAAATCATTGTAATGTCTGCTAATAAAGTAGTAAATAAGCAAATAGTATAGATATATTTAAAATAAAAAGCAGCATTCCTTGCTTCATCCTTCTCCACACTAGGCCTCCCCAGAGGCCACTGCTTTTGAATGATTCTGTTTATGACTTTCTTTTATTTTCTCTATGTGTGTAATAATTTGCTTATACCACTGTTTCTTAATTTACCAACTATAGATGGTCTCTTAATTTCTTGGTATTTCAGAATCTAACTCACTTTTTCCTACCTTCAAGCCCGTACAGTAAAATTACTATTTTTAGTTCCTTTATTGGTTATTTTTATAATGTTAAGAAATACAACTAAATGTCTATTTCTTGTCTGATTAGTTATATTTCAATATGTTTTAACTCTCCAAAACCTAAGGGTATATATGTCCTTTAATTTTTATTCACCTTTTTTCTTACCTTCTAAATTTTGTCATGATCAAATTTATATTTTATTTTGTTTCCTAGTTAAGACTACCATTCTTTGTCGGTTAAGTCTAAATATTGAGATTCAATAAGCATTTACATTATTAAAACTATATAAATATTATGCACTACAGGACCAAATTAATTATTTTGTTCTGTGGTTCTTTGTTTAGCGTTCCCTTCCTCTTTGGGCAATTTTTTTATTTCTTTAGGTTCTTCTGGGGTTTGTTTTCCCCTTCTTGCTTTGCCTACCTGAATTATAGCCTAGAGATCTGTCATTTTATACTCTTAAATCTTTGGGTTCCCCTTTTTTCTTAGGTACCTTCCTCCTAAATAAAGCTACTATCCTCTTGCTCATCTGACTGGTTGCTCTCTAGGTCTGCTTCAATGCTTTCATCTCAAGACATTCTTTCCCTCAGTTTGCTCTGCATTTCCTGGGTCCCACTTTGGCTTCTCAGTATATTCTTCTGTTTTGTCCCTGCATCATGAAGAAAAAAGTATGGAAGGTAAATTGTCTGAGTGCTTAGAAATCTAAAGATACCCTGGTACTTAATTGATAGTTTGGCTACTAAAAATGTCTAAGTTGAAATAACTTTCTTCAATACTTCAAAGACATGGCTTTATTTTGAGGCTTCCTTAGTTTGTTATAGAATACCTGGGGGTTTTCCTGTGTTCTGATGTCTCGAATTTACTGTGGTAAGTCTATGTGATGATGAGTCACTCTTGGGCTGGACACCTTGTGTACTCTTAATGTAAAAATCCATTCTTCCCATCTTGAGAAATTCTCTTAACATTATTTCTTTACAGGTTGTTCTCTATTTTCATTGTTCTGTTCTTTGGAAATTCTGTTAGTTGGATGATAAAATTCCTGCTTTTATTTTATCTCTTACTTTTCTCTCCATTTTGGTTTGATACTCTGTTCTGGAATATTTTCTGGTCTTTATCTTCAATCCCCCATTTTTTTCCTTATTTATGCAAGCATATTTTTAAATTTTTGCAAGCTCGCTCTTGTTCCGTTTTTCACAATATCTTGTTTTGTACAGACAGTATTATTTTAAGTTTGTTTGAGAAACATAATTAGAGGGTTTTTTTAAGGTTTTATTAATTTTTTTTTTGTAGAGAGAAACTCTAAAGGAAGGGAGGGAGAGAAACATTGATTGGCTGTGTCTTTCACATCCCCACCTGAGCCTGTGGCCTGCAACCCAGGCATGTGCCCTGACTGGGAATCAAGCTGGTGACCTTTCAGTTCGCAGGCTGGTTGGTGCTCAGTCCACTGAGCCACACCAGCCAGGGCGAGGATTTTTTTTTTTTTTTTTTTTTTTAAAGAATTGTTTTTTGTCTCTTCATTGGTGGTTTTCTTCATAGTACATTTTTTGTCTTCTTTCTTTAGACCTCTCATTTGCAGCTCTTTCCATCAATGTCTGCAAACAGGTGGTCCCTCGTTTAAGAAAAGGGTAGTGCAAAGGCTCACCTAGAATTGTGATGTGGGCTAACATTTACTGTGGGCTGGCTTTGTTCTGAATAAAGCAGATAAGAAAGTGGTGCAGTTGGCCTTGAAATGGCCGAGGAACTTTCCTGGGAGTTCTTATCCTCCCACTATCCACACTCTCCTCAATTTGCTGAGTTTTTTTGAGGAAAGAACACTTTTTAATAATTTTGTAAATTTTGTCTTTTAAATACCTGTGACTGTATCGTTCGCAAACCTTGTGATTCATACCCTTTGTAGTTGTCTTTGCTCATTGCTCCAGTCTCTCACTGTTGGATTTCCCTTTGTTCATTTCATCCATATCAAACATCATCTGAGCCTGCCAACTCCCAAATTTGTATCTGCAGCCTGGACCTTGTACCTGAATTCCTGATTTCCATTTAACTGCTTAGTCTGTATTTCTTCCTGGATATATAATAAACCATTTTAAAC